ATCAATTTTTGAAAGTCCAGAGTACCCGAAAAGACTTTGGCAAAAATTCTGCAAATTTTAGCTTGAAAGCTTGGAATCTTTTTCATTATTTACTTGATCTGGATGTCACACGAGATTCCTATTTGTCTACTTTTAGACCCTACAGTACCTTCACTCGTTCCATTCTCCTCCCGGGCGATCGTCTCGAAATTCGACAGCGATGAGTTCGACGTGATCGGGTGTACTGTAGCCGAGGTACTGTAGTTTGATTCTAGCGTACCTGTAGCCTGTTGGGTTACGATCAATTCCCCGGCCGATCCCCGTCTTTCCCCATTCACCGCCAATTTCTTCACGTCGCTGAGACTCTTGCGACGGAGACGGAAGCTGAAAATTTAGGTACTGTATCCTTCTGTAGTACTGTAGCTAGGCTAGGGTGCCGGAAACTGGGCACAGCAGTCAGGGTAGTGTACCGTACCCTTTGCGCACAAAGTACGCACAAAGTTCGACCAGGAATATTGAGAATGGCGACTTTTAGAGTGGAATCCTATGTAAAACTATATATTTTTGAAATGTATTGGTCGAATTGGAGGTCACAATAGATGCTCGAACAGAAACGCGCGCCTTCTGGCATAAAGTGCACAAAGTACGCACAAAGTTCGACAAACAATATTGAGAATGGGAGTTTTTAGAGTGAAATCCTATGTAAAACTATAAATGTTTGATATGTATTGGTCGAATTGGAGCGCACATTGACTGCTCAAACAAAAACGCGCGCCTTCTGGCACATTGAGCTGTGGTGTACTGTACCCTGAGGTTACTGTAGCTTGCTGTAGCTCAAACCTTCGCAACTCCCGAGCCACTTTGATCAACGGAGAGGCTTCGGATTTGGGCTTGAGCCTTGGGATCTAAATATAGATTAAAAATAAAACAGATCTAGCTATAGAAAAATCTAAACCTACAATAGTTGGTCCTTCGGAAGACGGGGAATTCTCTCCAGAGACAGATGGGAGAAATCTTTGCTCGAAGATTATCGGCCTAAAGGAAACTTTGAAATATGAATAGCATTGTATGCCAGAGGGCTTGCGCAAAGCACAGAGCACAAAGTACGCGAAAGATTCAACCAGGAATATTGAGAATGGCAAGTTTCTGAGAGAAATCCTATGTAAAACTATATATTTTTGAAATGTATTGGCCGAATTGGAGCTCACAGTAGATGCTCGAACAGAAACGCACGCCTTTTGGCACATTGAATCGAAGTGAGCTAGCTAGCTATGAAGCTGTGCGTTTAGAAGAAAAGAATAACTAAATTCACTAAATTTACGTACGACAATTGCGGTGGAGCGTCCAAATTCGGTAAATAGAGCGGTGGATGGATGAAATCACGAAAATACGGCGACGAGACGACAAGGGAGTGAATGTGAGTGATCGTGGTCGAGTTGTGGAGGGTTTCTGGGAAATTTCGAAATAAGCAAATGAATTTTTCGGGCGCAATGATCGATCTGGAACGCACCGGATCCAATTTCCGTAGTGGAATGCTCGGTGAAGAAGAAAAGCTCTCCGATCCTCCGCCAGCGCCAATCCTCGAAAGAGCGCCCGATTTTCTCCATGAAAGCTGGAAGGGTTTTGAATGATTTCAATGATCTGGATGTCATACCGTAGTTTTTCGTGAATAGATTCACGAATTGGGAGTGGATGGCGGTGAGGCGAGCGCTCAACCGGACAGCATCAGACTCAAGCTGAAATTTGCATTGAAAATTCGAATTTCATAAGAATTCGATTTTCTCAAGAAATTTGCATGCGAATATGTCTAGTGACTTCCAGGAAGCTTATTTCATGAATTAAAAACTACTGTAGCTTAGGGGATCTCTGGGTTTTGGTACTGTACCTGGCACCAAGGTGAGCTGGAGTTCTCGATTCCCTCGCATAGCCTCGTCAACTCTTTTTCGACACTCGTTTCAGCTGAATTTTTGATTTTTATATAAAATTTGCGTTTACCGATGTGAATTGTGGTTTTGAGAAGGTCTTTGTTCGCGGCGATCAACCTCTCCAACGAGTTGATCGACATCAGAAGCGCTCGAGCCGTTTGCAGATGGAATTGCTGCAGTTTCAGCGAAATACCCTGCAAATTGGAGTTCACAAGAGCTTTTGTGCTCGAAAAATCGAATAAATAGAAAAGTTCTGCGCTGCGGGGGTTCGAACCAGGACCCTTCGATTGGGAGCCAAGTGCTAACCACTGCCCCATCCTGCATCATCACTTTTATAATCCCTAGATCTGTTAAATATTTCTGTGCGTTCCAGGATGAACAAATCTTTTTTATTTGGGCTTTTTTCCTTTCCATTTGGCCGTCAAGTGGGCTGAGAATGGTTGAGGAATTGAGAATGGCTAAAATTACAGCTAAATAGGAAAAATTGAGTAGAACTGAAATGTTATCAGTTAATTCTGGATATCACAGAATCTATAGAGATATTTAGTTTACTGATTACTGCCAAAGTTTTCATAGCCTAGTGGCTAGCGAGCTTGTCTCCAAGGCGGAGGGTGGTGGTTCGATCCCCGGAGGTCAAGTTGGGGTCGGAGGTGCCCCGAGCCTTTAGATAAAGATAAAAAGCTGTTACTTACTGGATCCGGTGGGTTTTTCTTTCTTCTGGCCAACATTGAGACAAGTGATGATGAGGCGAAAAGAGTCAACGAGGAAAACGCGAAAAACTCGAAGTTGATTGGTCTAAAAGGTTATTTAGGTTATTTAAACAATTTTCAATGCAAAATTTTGATAAAACCTGAAGATACAGTGCGCTTTTTTCACAGAGAGATCGATTTCTAAAGTCCGACGGGAGATCATCGTGAAATTTTCGTTTGCCGGTGGGCGATCCCGGTCGGCGAACCTGCGAAATGCGAATTGGAGTGCACGGAACGAAAAATGAATGAAAAATGGATGATTTAAGGATTTTGAAATTTCCAATTATTCCAACTAACCACAGTTCGACACCGACTTTCAGCGAGAAGAGCTCGATCCATGGGCGGGTGAGGGCCTGAGATTACGGTAGCTTATCCAGGGTTACGGTAGCTCTACCGTACCTGTATCGAAAGGATGAAAACATCGTTGATTTGTAGGGTTTCATCAGCGAAGATCAGCTCGATGGTGCGCGAGATGCCGATCTAAAAGTTAGATATATTTTTTTGGAGTATTTAGTCGATCTGGATGTCACATGAGGTTTCTAATTGGTTACTAGGTCTCTGGGGTTACTGTATAAACGTAGTCCTAGGGTACGGTAGCCTCTGTAGGGTTTTGTGGGTACTGTAGCTGTTCTAGGGTTACTGTGTAGGGTTATTTAGTCGATCTGGATGTCACATGAGATTCCTAATTGGTTATCAGGTCTCTAGGGTTACCTTATAGGATTACTGTAGACTGTGTAGGGTTTTGTAGGTAGTGTAGCTATTGTAGGGTTACTATGTAGGTTTTTTTTAAACTATTTAGTCGATCTGGATGTCACAAGAGATTCATATGTGGTTACTATGTCTGTAGGGTTACTGTATAAACCTAGCCCTAGGGTACGGTAGCCTCCGTAGGATTTTCTAGGTACTGTAGCGTTCTAGGGTTACTGTGTAGGGTTATTTAGTCGATCTGGATGTCACATGAGATTCCTAATTGGTTATTAGGTCTCTAGGGTCACTGTATAAAGGTAGCCCTAGGGTACAATAGCCTCTGTAGCGTGTTCTAGGTACCGTAGCCATTCTATGGTTACTGTGTAGGGTTTTTTAGACGATCTGGATGTCACATGAGATTCCTAATTGGTTATTTTGGTCCCTAGGGTTACTGTATAAAGGTAGCCCTAGGGTACGGTAGCCTCTGTAGGGCTTTGTAGGTACTGTAGCCGTTCTATGGTTACTGTGTAGGGTTTTTTGGTCGATCTGGATGTCACATGAGATTCCTAATTGGTTATTTAGGCCTGTACCCCATCATTGACGGAACTCGGCAGAAGACTGTCCCCGAGTTTCTGCTCGTTTCCACTCTCACACCGAAAATCGATCGAGAAATCGGTGCTGGGCTTCGGGGAGAGACGGATCTGGAAAAGGACGTTGGAGAGAGAGCTACGGTAGCCCAGGGTACTGTATTTTTAAGACTACAGTACCTGGGATACTGTAGCTTCTGTACCTGATAGTATCCTCGATTATGTAGCTCGACATTTCGAAATTTATCCAATCCTATGTACACTTCGAAAATCGGCAACACCTCGATCCGCATTCCATAAAGCCTAAAATAAATGCTGATTTGAAAAACTATCTTAGAAAATGAGGGAATTTAATAAATTTTAAAAGTTGAAGCCACAGAAAAGAGTACGAGGCATATTTTAAGTAAAAAAAGGATTTTTGTAAAAAAATAAGTTATTTAATGGGCAAGCTGGATGTCAGAATAAACAATTATTAAAATAAAATGGGGTTTGGAAGAATTCAGCAGTGGTCAGAGCGGAGATTTGGGACTGGTTGAAAAAGTGGGCTTAAATGAGGCGAAAATCACAAATTAGGCAATGTTTCGTGCGAACTGGATAGCACAGGAGCCAACGAAGCTATTTGCGCATTCGATTTCCCTATAAAATGTTCTTTTCGTCAGAGGGTTGGGGGAGAAAATCGTCAGAAAAGCAGAGTTTTTTTTTCAAATTTCCTTGCGTGATTTGGCAGTGCCATTTACGGTTTTGCAGTGTTTTTTGCTGTTTTTTGCTGTTTTTTTATGGTTTTTGACGAAATTTGGGTAAAAATTGAAGAAAAAACATCAAAAAACCGTAAAAACATCAAAAATCAGTAAAAAACGACTAGTTTAAATATCAAAATTTTCTCAAAAATGAATATTCAGTTGTTTAGCTGAATATCTTTTTCTTTTAAAAATTGATGTATAAAAGGAGGTTTTGCCAGAATTTGCCAAAAATTGCTTATTTTTCGGTTTTCTTGCGTTTTTTTGATTATTTCTTTGCTTTTTCTGAATTTTTAACAAACTTTTCATCTTTTTTTTTTGTTTAGATGCTAAGAAATGTCTGATTTGATACAAGTTACCATCAAAGATCTGCTAAAACAGGTGAGATTTGAGCAAAAATTTGATAAAACTTTTGATAAAACTTTCGAAATTCAAGTAGATTTGAGCAAATTTTGAAATTTTTATCAAATTTTGCTATTTTTGCTTTTGCTTTTGCCCAAAATCTTTAGAAAAATAGGTTTTTGGCGGGTTTTGCTGAAGGTTTTGAAGAAAATTTGTGCTTTTAGACGGCTTTTGACAGTGAAAAGATCAATTTAATAGTGAAAACACAGCTTTTTCCCCTTCTAAAGTATAGTTTTGGTTGAAAAATCGATAAATCTTTGCTCAAAAATGGTCAAACTTTGCTTTAAGCATCAAATTCTTCATTTCAGATCAAATTTTGATGTGAAAACTGGCAAATCTAAGCTTTAAAATGGTTCTTTTGGCTGTTTTGACGCTTAACAATGAAAGCTGCATCGAATTTTGACGTAAAAGATAAAATGCTAGGTTTAGAATGGATCTTTCATTGTTAAGCATCAAATTTTGATGTTGAAATGGATAGATCTAGGTTTTAGAATGGTTTTTTGACTGTTAAAGATCAACTTTCTCATTTAGATATCGATTTTAGATAGCTTCGAGTCTAAAATGGATAGATTTAGGTTCTAGAATGGTTTTTTGACCTTTAAACATTAACTATTTCATTTTAGATATCAATTGTAGATAATTTTAATTCTAAAATGGATAAATCTAGGTTCTAGAATGGTTTTTGACTTTTAAAGATCAACTTTCTCATTTAGATATCGATTTTAGATAGTTTTAATTCTAAAATGGATAAATCTAGGTTCTAGAATGGTTTTTTGACCTTTAAACATCAACTTTTTTCTTTTAGATATCCGATCGGGCGAACCACGGCCGTGAGGAGCGCATGCAGGCATCGCTGGAGTTGTGTCGAACGCTGGAAAGGTTGAGGAATTTGCAGGTGAGTGAAAAAGTGCTGTTGATTGCTGTTGATTTGATAAGATTGCTGTTTGGGTAAGTTTTGCACAAGTTTTACCCATCTAAACAAACAGAGTCGAGCTATGATAGCTTAACTATGAAGAACTTAATGATTATAGCTTAACTATGAAGAACTTAATGATTATAGCTTAACTATGAAGAACTTAATGATTATAGCTTAACTATGAAGAACTTAATGATTATAGCTTAACTATAACAAACCAAGAGCTAGTTGCAAGCTGTAAATAGACCTATCAATAGATAGAGTGCTTCAGAGGCTTACAGATTTGAGTAGAAAGCCAATTTGGCCTGCAGGTTAGGCATTTGATTGAATTGTTGCTTGTTTTGGTTGTTGGTTAGGCATTTGATTAAAATTTCCGCTTGTTTTGGTTGTTGGTTATCTAAATTTCCTAGAATTTATGCAAATAAGGCTAACGATCTAAAGCTTAGGTTTAGGTTTAGGCTTAGGCTTGGGCTTAGGCTTACCCTTACGCTTAGGAATAGGCTTACGCTTGGACTTAGGCTTAGACTTAGGCTCACTTTTTTCCAAACTTTAGAAACTTTAGGAACTCCCAAAGGGATGGCAAGAGCTCGGCGACGATTTTCTGGTGATAATTACGGCAAGGAGCGGTCCGTTGGAGTTGAAAAAGAACCTGTCGACGTGTTTGGCGGCACTTGGCGTGCTGACTGGATGGGAATACGAATTGTGAGTTTTAAAAGGCTTTTTTTTTTTTTTTTTTGTATGTACTACGTAACAATAATTGAATTAAGCTTTAATTTTTTTAATGGAATAAAGCTTCAATAAAGCTTAAAAAGTGACACTAAAGCTTTAATGCTCAATTTTTACCCCAAAAATATGCAATCTGTTCGAATCTGTTCGAAGAATTACAAAAAAGAACCAATTCAAAAGCTTCTCGTTACCAATTCTCTCAATTTTACTTCAAATTTACTTCAAAATCTTGTTTAGATTCATTCAATGGCTTCTCGATGCGATCGAAGCTTTGCATCGGAAAGCCGAAGAGGAGCGAATGATGTTGATTGGGTGAAATTTTTCGAAAAATCCAATATCTAAACATAAATTTCAGCGCAATGGCCTCTTCGATTGTCGTGAATGCAACGAAAAGCTTCCCGTTTGCCGAGAAATTGTCTGACGTGCGTTTCAATCTAAATTTTTACCTTAAATCTCTATTTTCCTTTTAGAAACTGATGAAATTCGCGATCAAGAGCCTCGAAGCAAATACATCACATCAAGTATGTAAAGATTTAGCCAGTAAACAATATTGTTGGTGTTAAAAGCTGTAAAATAAAGCTAGGCTATGAAAAAAGCATTAAATGATTAAATGATTAAATCGTTAAATCATTAAACCATTATCATTAAACCATTATCATTAAACTATTATCATTATCATTAAATCATTATCATTAAACCATTATCATTAAACCAATATCATTAAACCATTAGCATTAAATCATTATCATTAAACCATTATCATTAAACCATTAGCATTAAATCATTATCATTAAATCATTAGCATTAAACCATTATCATTATAAAAATCATTGAATTTGTATTAAATCAATTTTTCTAGGTTCACTCCTCGTTGATGGAACTCTGCACGGCGGTTTCTCAATTTTCGCCAACAAAATTTCGCGCTTTCTTTGAGGTAAAGTTTTAAAGCGAGTCTTACTAATGCTAAATTTTCAGGATATGGTCGATTTGACGGTCGGCTGGCTGATGGACGAGACAGTACCGAAGAAAATCCACGCAAAATGTGAAGAGGTGCGATTTTGAAGGGGAAACTGAGTTCTAAGCCTTGTTTGTTAGCTAGTTATTAGCTAGCTATTTAGTAGCTATTTAGTAGCTATTAACTAGCTATTTATTAGCTATTTGCGAGCTATTAGCTAGTTATTTATTAGATATTTATTAGCTACTAACTAGCTATTTACTAGCTATTTGTTAAACTAAAGCTCAGCCATGTTAATTTCCCATGTTCAGGCTCTCCTCGGCTTGTCGAGTTTCTGGTTGGAGCGGCCGAACTACGCGAAAGAGTTGATGAAACAATTCCGGCGGGATATCGTCGAGGATTTGGAGGTTTGTTTGGGAAAGGAGGTTTAATAGGTTTAATAAGCTTAAAATAGGCTTAATAAGCTTAAAATAGGCTTAATAGGCTTAAAATAGGCTTAATAGGCTTAAAATAGGCTTAAAATAGGCTTAACAGGCTTAAAATAGGCTTAATAAGCTTAAAATAGGCTTAACAGGCTTAAAATAGGCTTAACAGGCTTAAAATAGGCTTAATAAGCTTAAAGATAGGCTTAATAGGCTCTGTACAGTATGTTCTACTTACAAAATCGTTATTGGTGCTAAACAGACACAAATCTGTACCTAGGAAAAGTGTTTTATGACTTTTGGAGGACATAATCGTACAGTACGGCACTGTACGATGTATAGTTAGGGTATTGAGCCCCTTCGTGAAGAGTTAATAGGTGTAAGAACTGTTTAAAAATTAAAGTTTGTAAAATTGAACTTTAACTGAATGAACAATTGAATTAGTCTAGTTTTTAAGGCAAAATCGTAGCAAATATCAAATCGTATTGTCTCAAAAAATCCTAATTCAGGACTTGCGAAATGGCGGGATCACAGGCAAAGAGGCGCAAACGGTGTTGTCGCGTGCCGGTTCGCTCATCAAAACCCATGCGATCATCATGCGGATCTACTTGAACGCACCGAATGAGGAGAATCTGCGCATTGTCATCGTGTCGACGATTGAAGAGGTGATTCATCGACCGCTTCAGGACTCGAATCGGCCTCTTGCATCAGCAGATTCAAAGACAAACTCGCCAACCATTAGACTAAATGCTTGGTCGAGTAGCTAGCGCGCTTGACTCGGAGTCTACGAATCTATCGGTGGCGGGTTCGATTCCTTTGCGGGTCAAACGCTTTTGCTAAATGCTAAGTTGAGCGTCTTAGCTGATAAAATTAAAATTCAGCGATAGCGATTGAAATTCTGATTATTTTATTATAAAAAAGATGAAATTGACCTAGCTAAAAATTGATGAAATTGAGCTAACATAAAATTTGCTCATTTTCAGTTAATCCTCGCTGGTGAAAGCTACATCTCGATCTTCAGAGTGAACGACTCGAATCCGACAAAGCTTTTCCTCGCGCTTGTTTATGTTTTCGAGTTAATCTCCGAGTTGAGAGCCGTCGTTGAAGAGGTGATTGCAATTTGGAAGTCGATAACCTTTATTTATTCAGGATTTCTTGAAGTTGACCACCTCATGCGTCACTTTTCTATTCAAAGTGATCGATTCGTTTCCGGGAGCGATTTATTTGATCAATGGATACTTGGACTTGTTGACGAAGGTGGGGAACTTTTGCAAAAGTTGATTGTTTTTATGATTTTTGTTTGTTTGGCGATTTTGGGTATATTTGAGTACTTAAATCGTGTCTGAAACGAGATTTTTTAGTTTAAAGTCGAAAAACGAATGCCAACTTGTTAGATTCTATAAATGAACAGTCGAAAATCGTGTAGACTATTCAAATTTTGCTTAAAATTTATTTTACGCAAAATTTGAACAGTCTACACGATTTTTTTTGCGTAAATTTGTTCAAATTCCACTATTTTAGTTGATAAATCTTGATCAAAATGCTTTTTTTGGCAAAAGCTTTAAACCTTAACACTGCCAAGAGTCAACCTTAGACCCTAACACTGCCAAAAGTCAACCTTAGGATAAAAGCCAACCAAAAGCCAGCCAGCTCTTTTTCAGTTTGAAAGCAATGTGCCGCACATTGATGAGGTGGTAAACATGTCGACGACACTCATTCACGGACAAACAGACGTTTCGAACTACTCGAAAATTGGTCTCATCTATCAATTTCTTGCGAATCCGAGCACCATCAAAGCCTCATCGCGTCTCATCTCGGCACTTTTGTCGGAGAAAAACATCAAAACTATTCAAGCGACGTACACAATGGTGATCAAATGGATTGGTGGTTGGTGGAATTTCAATCTGACAATCATTTTTTTCATTTCAGATGAACTTGCCTCGCTTCAAGCCGCCAAAAACAACAGCAACTTCAAGGAACAACTAGAGATTAAGGTAATCGCATAGAAATCTAAGCAGCGCATAGAAATATCGATAAATCTATGAGTTTAGAACGCCTCGATTCGTCTTTTTTGCCTGCTACAATCACTGGAACACTTGGCGACCATCAAGAATTCGTTTGTTGTGGTCGGTTTTTGGTTGAAATTTGAATAAAAATGACCATGTAGTCTTTTTTTGACGATTTTTGCTTTCAGATGATGCTCCAACCAACGCTTTTCACTTTTCTTACCACTTTACCGCTAAGTGATGACACGTTTCTGGAGGGTTTTCCAATGGAACACCACACACTGATGAGATTGCTACATTTGCATTGTGAAAGGTTTGTTATTTGTGACGAATGTGCTGAGATTCATAGTGCTTAAGTGCTTAGATTCATAAAAGGGGTATCTGGGGTTATAAATTTGGTATATAGTCATAAATTTGGTACCTAGAGTCATAAATTTGATACCTAGACCGATAAATCCGATGCCTACAATCATAAAGATCCCTATTTGTTGCTTGTTTTTACATTAATACTAGCTTCTGCAATCAGTTTTCATGCAAAATGTGAAGCTTGAGAGTTGGAAGTACTCTAAGTTGTTATTTGTACGGAGAAAAACTTGTAGAAAAGTTATTTACAGTAAGAAAACATCAAGAAAACAGAAAACGTTCCAATGCGGTTCCAATATGGTTCCAATATGGTTCTTCGGATACGCTTCCGATACGGTTCCAATATGGTTGATATGGTTCCAATATGGTTGATATGGTTCCAATATGATCTCTGGTTGAAACCTTTTGGTTAAAAAAACGGGTTTAGACTTGTTTTTGTTGGCATTACTGAATGCCATTTACTATACAATGCCATTTACTGTAGCATTACATCCTTTTTCAGCCATGGTTTCTTTGTGGTGAACTCGTCGTGGATTGTCGCCGCATCGCCATCGCCGATTCATCAAAATTTGACGAAAAATCATGCAGAGGTACGGGGATTTTTTTTGAATTGAAATCATAAAATTTGATGAATTTAATGAAATTTAAAGAGATACTAGTTTGTAGATTGTCTAAAAATCGTAAAAACTCTCTCTTTTAGTCTCAACTAAAGCTTCTGCACGCACTGTTGCTAAAGGGAAACCGGGTGACACTTGGGAAAACAAGGTGATTTTGATTTTGATTTTGATTTTAAAAATCATATTGTAAACTCGTTAGCTGAATAGCTTTAGCGTTTTCTTCTTATGTCTAGATTATTTTATTTTTCAGAAAATTATGCGATGAATGGCTGGAGAGTTTATTCAACAATTTGCCCGACTATTCACTACCCGAAGTTGTTAATCATCGAGATTTTAAGGAACTTCAGGTAGGGGAAAATGGGTAATCGAGCTAAAAACAAGGAGTGAACGAAAAGTAGTGCGATAATTTTGATATTAGTGCTAAATACCGATTCATTTCCCTAGTAATTAGACCGGAAAATGTTAGATTTATATGACTTCAAGATTAAATTTTGTATTTTACTGTACTATGTATGGCAGAAGTTTAAGCTGTTCTAAATTCTGTCAAAAACAGCTCATTAATGCAGTTGTAGTGTTTAAGCTTAAAGCTTTTTAAGCAATCTTAAACATTTTATCGATCCATTTTCTTTCCTTCGATCTAAACTTTCTCATTTTTAGGTCACCTTATGGTCTCTTCTATTGGAAAATCCGAAACGAATCGAGAGGTAAGCATTTTGTTGTTCACATTTTTTTTGGCAAAAAAAGCTTCCCTAACATGGAAAGTAGATAAATTAGCTTTTTTTAGCTTTTAAATTTGCTTTACTTTCAATTTCCTTCTTTCAGATTACAATCGGTGCTAAAAATTCTCGAGGTGACCGCGTCGAACGATGAAGAAACGATGATTTCACAAGTGAAACAAGCGAGAACCAATGTTCAGGTGGGGATTTTTTTGATGAAAATTGGAATTTACGGTACTCGATAAATAATTACTGTAATCTGTAAAAAAAAATAGCGCTTTTTTTTAATCGTTTTTAATCGTTTAGTCGTTTAGTCGTTTTTAATCGTTTAATCGTTTGATAGTTTTTAATCGTTTAATCGTTTTCCTCTTTAGAAACTCAATCACGAAGACTCGATTCGTTTGTGGAAGAAAATCCCGTCAAGGAGCTACATTTTGTAAGTAAAGAGATTTGTTTTAGAAGCTCTAATTGAAATACTCGATGTACGCTAAAATTTGCTTTTTTACTAAGATTGCTAAAATTGTAAATAAATTCAAAATTTCAGAAGCGGAGTCTCGATCACCGGTTGGACGGACACTGAAATGACACAGAAGAAAGCAAACGAGTGCCGCTTTTCCACTGAGCACTTCTCGATCATCATCACCTTTCTATTGCATAAACAAATGCCGAATTTGTTGAGAAAGTGAGTGGGGGCAGTGGTGACAAAATTTTGATGTTAATTTGTGAAATGTTAAATTTAGTGAGAACGACACATGGATTCATGAAACGATCGCATATTTGCATTCGACGATTACTGGAGTGGAGAAAGAATTGGTGAACGATTGAAAAGCCATTAATCAATCTAATATCAACGTTTAGCTGATGATTCGTTGGCGTTGGGCGCTCGCGCAGACGGTGAATTATTGTGTCGAGAATCGAATGCGGACACAATTCGGAGGACCAATGGAGACGTTTTCCGAGTTTTCCAGTGGGTTTTTGGAGTAAATAGAGCTATGCTAAGGGATTAGCGGTACATAAACGTACAAACGGTACATAGACGTACATTGTTTTGATTCGTAGACGATCAGATTTGGATGATATTTTGATGGAATTCGATGAGAGACACTCTTTCACTTTAAAATTACATCAAAATTATTTGCATTTGACAAATCTATGCAAAATTATGGCTGTAAAAACTGGTCTAGCATAGAGATTTTGAGTTAAAGCCATTCCCTGGGTCTGACTGAATACTAAAGCTAGCTATATAGACTCAGTTAATGCACAAAATCATATAAAATTGTTTAGAAGAGATTCACCGACTCGCAAAAGAGGCCATCTCTGAGATCCCGAACAATAAAGTTGAGGAAAAGACGATGAAAAGTCAGCCAAGTGTAGGTTTTTTTCTTTCTTTTTTAACAAAATCAAACCGATCTTGACATGGATTTTGAATCTTTTGAATGTTTTGAATGTTTTTAGATGAAATCTGTTAACTACCAGAGATTTTGAACGTGAAAACTTGCTTTCAGCTTTCAACTTTTAGGTCTCTTCGACGACAACTCTTGCACGCCGACCGGAAAAGAGCAGCAAAGACGAGGGAAATGAGGTGAAAGAGCCAAGGTATTTAAAATTTCATGTTAATTATTGAAATTATTGAAATTATGAGTATTTCCATGTAATTTCCACACTTTTGAGGGCCCTAAACGCATCGGAAGATTGGTGGCGTGTTCGCCTTTTGCTCGAATTCGTCGACTTGCTTGATAAGGCGATCTACAGCGCACACACTGGTGCCTCGTTTTCACCGTTTAACGTATCCGAGGTGGGGTTATTTTTTAATCGAACAACCGGATGCTCAGGCCAAAGGTCGGTCATGACTTGGCTTCTGCTCTGACCTAGCTTGGCTATACTTTTGACTTGACCAATCCTGGCTTTATCCTGGATCAACCAGAAGTCAAAATTTGCCGGATTTAAATCTGACTAACTGTTTCTCCTTTTAGATCTCTCGCCACTTTTTCATCCAGAATGCGAACGCCTGTCAGGAATGGTTATCGCGAAATTACATCCCGGCGATGGCGGTCGCTTATACGGCTGGAGCGTATGCTCAAGTGAGTGCTTGAGTGTCGCCTTTTCTCAGCTATTGAAAAGCTTCATTGAAATTTCTTCAGGTGATTCGCTTTGGCGCCTCGGCGTTGCTCGACTTTGAGCGGAAACAGAAGAAAGAGAAAGCTGGCAACAATCGCGAGAGTCCGAATGAGGCGGTGAGTAGTTTAGAGGTGTAGAATTGTGACCAATGTTGTTGGCTCTGTAATTTACAAGCCAATCTCGATAATCGGCAACTTAGGACTCGAAGATGAATGGTCAAACGATGCCCGGTTTGGTGTTGATGGCGCTACAATGGATCACGAAAGCAATGGTGCAATTGGGGTAAGTATTTAGGGATTTTTTGACTCTAAAATTTTAGTACGTTAGTAAATTCGCGGAACACCTTTAACTCCTCACTCATTTTTAGCTACGAATTGCCGATTTTGGGACTGGCCGGCTGGACGCAACGAGTCTACGCGATTGTCCCCGAATGGTTGCCGATTTGTGCGGATATTGCGGCTGCTAGGTGGGGGTTTTTTTTGTTATGAGAATTTGAGTAAGCTTAAGCTATAATTCGTGATCAGCGCAAAAAGTTACCCCAGAAAAGGGTGAATCTCGATGCTTTTAGCTGTTTTTAGATCAAAATAACAAAGCCTATGCCCGTACATAGTACTGTACTGTACTGTACTATGTATGGCAGAAGTTTAAGCTGTTGTAATTTGTGCTTATTAGTGAACTGGATAAGATATTCAGGGAATTCAGGGTATTTTGAGATTTTCTCCTTTTTCAGATGGGAATCATCGATTGCCAAGCTGCGCACGTATCTCATCCAAAAGAACAGTGATGTCGAGGCGAAATTCGCACGGGAAATGGTAAATTTTCAGGATAGCTAGTTGTTGTTTATGAGTACAGTAGGAATGATTACTGCTTACTAAGAATGCTCACTGTACTCGTAAGAATACTTACTGTATGCTCTTGACTTGATGCTTGATAATGAAAATGATTCTTGATATTTGCAGATGTTATTCTGCGTTTTGCGTGTCCGTCTGCCCGAATTGGTTTCTGCCAACCATTGTCCACCGGATCTCTCGATGTGGGATGTGATGAGTGACTCGACGAATGATGCAATGTTTCCTGAGTGTCCGCCTGGTTTTGAGGAATCGGCTTTCAATTGGTGAGGGTTTTAAGCGGTAGTGCTAACTAAAATCCTTTACCAGGCTAACCTTGACCTACTGTATTAGTCTCAGCATCTAGATCAGTACTATTTCCTGCTAAAATACTGAGTCTCGACAGGAGTGCCTATTACGAAAGAAAGACCTTTAGTAGGCATCAAATTTGAGCCCAAATCGATTATAGCAAATCTAGCAGCTTTACTCACCTATATCTTTCTATTTTCAGTTGCCGCGATTTGTGCGTTTTCGGCAAAGTCGACACGGTGCCAGTTTATTCGAATACGGCTTGGAAAATTCCCGAGAAGAGCCTCCAAATCGAGCACACCTTATTGACAACGATGAGAAGGTGATTCTTGAGGAAATTCGTGGATTGTAGGGCTGTAGTTGGTGTAGGATTGAAGCTGGGAAATGTGATTTACTCGAGAAATTCTTTAGACCAGAAGTGCTCGACATTGAGACCCAGCTGGCCAACGATGCGGCGCTTGTTTTGGCGACTGAGGGACCGTTGAGGTGAATTGTTGGCTCAAGTTTGAGGATAAAATAAGCAGATTTAGTTCACCTATGCTTATGAGATTAATTTTTTGTAACCCAAAACCCCCCAACAATTCTAGATTACACACCCGTTTCGCAATTGTTCAAGCGATTGCTCGTCTCTTGGCGACTCGGATGCAGAAAAAGGGACCCGAGCTACAGGATGTACATGCTGTGAGTGGAGATTTTTGTTTTTTGAGACTTTAGAACGAACTTGTTAGTATAGTACAATATTGGTAAAGACTCCTGAGAGTTTGTTGAACTTTAAGCTTGTTTTTAAGCTGAAAGTTTACATGTCTCTTTGATTTTTAGTCAATCATCGCCGAGTTGGACCCGGCTTTCATCCTCGAAAAACCAAAATCGGATCTTGGAGAACGCGTGGCGCTGGGAAGGTTGTGAACTAATTTGAAACTAGAAACTCAGCTGAAATATCCGGCTTTTAGACAACTCCTGCTGTGGACCGAGCGCTTGGGTGGACCGGCCTACATTGAAAGTCATGTGCAAATGGCGAGACTGTGTCGAAAAACGAGCAATCAGTGAGTGTTTTGACAAATAAAGTATGCTAAATTTGAAATAGATGAAATAGTTGAGCCTGGAAATAGTTAAGCCATCAATTTGAGTCGATTTTTGATATCAAACTCTTTAAAAAGTCTAAATTGAGGCCACGATTTAAGGTTTTTGGTTTTGGTTATAAGAAAAATGAGCTGATTTGATGTGAAACTCTAAATTTCAGCATGCTCACCGCTTCGCACTTGATGCGAGCCGCGTCGAATCCCAACTACGCTCGATCATCCTTCAATCAAATCATGGTTGCGAGACAAGGAGCCAAAATGGTGAGCCAAAATTTAAACGTTAAAAAATCGTGATCTTGCATGATTTCGGCTTTCTTTAACAAAGTTTAACAAAGCTTTAACAAAGTTTCCATTTAGCTCTGGCCGACGGCGACTTTCGAGCAACGTGCACAACATTTTGTCGGTCTCTTCTCGCTTGCCGCCAAAGCCTACGAAATGGATTTGAATCAACGGGTGAATGGGGTCAGTTTTGAAGGCAACAACACCCTTATACAGAAATCAATCACGAAAATATTTGCCAATGATTGCCAAAGAGATACTGGCGCTGATCCTTAACGGGTTCTGCGTTCAATTATAAAGTTTTTAACGGTGAATAAGGCTCCTATTGCCTTATTCACAGTTAAAAGTTCAGTTCAGTTTCTTGTACGGTTCGAACCCGTTGAAACGCAGCTACAGCAATTACACTTGCCCATTAAATAGTTAGGATGACGATCGGATTCTTTTTTTTGAGCCCTTTCTTTTCAGGAAACCTTCTCCCCGACGTCAACAAGGTCGTCGGAAGTGCTGCTACAATTGCCGAATGGGAACACGATCCCCGTTGATCCGTTCAATGCATCGGCTCCGGTTACTACAGGTATTTCTTTGATGCATTGTGAAAAACGATCGATTGGAAACACTAAAATACGAAATTTTACTCGAAAAATCGCTTTGGCCATCGTTGTGCAATCAAATTTGTGCACTTTTCTGCAAAGTTGCAAAGTTTTTTGCACAAAAAGTCAGAGTCAAACCCTCAATTCAAGCTATGACAATCAAAAAAAAAGCGCTAACAAGCGAATATGCATTCTTTAAAAGTTGTGTTTCGTAAAAGTCGATCATAAAATACTCTTTGAATGCATTTTCTTTCTTAAAAACAATTTATTCATCCCTTGTTCAATGATTTTTATGAATTTTTGCCCCTTTCTAAAACGCTTTATTCAAATTGAACTCAAATGAATGCAATGGATGGAGATTGTTTTGTTTTTGATGAGTGAGAGAAGAAGAGGAGACAAAGCACTATCAGCACATCAGCATACAGATCTAAAGAAGAAGATATGGATAGGTTTTCAAGCGATACTTATACTCAATTCATAGTACTTGCACTCACTAACGCTGTACCGATGCCAGTGCCAAAATCAAACAGAAAACTGCCAGCAGTAGCTGTACTTGCACCGAGTACCAATACAAGTTTTGAAAAAAGATACACCCTGACATTGTTCCGCTCCTCTCTACTCCTTTTTGGCGAATGGATCTGCTTGGATGATGTTCATCGTCTCATAGTTCGGATCGTTGTGTGCCATCTCGCCGGCTTTTGGTGTCTAAAAGAGTGAGGAGGAGTGAGTGTTTGAGCAAAAGTATCTGATATCTGATGGACAAATCACGTACAGATCCTTTTGTGGCGCTTTCCTCTTTCGCCTCTTTCGCCTCTTTCGGCTTTTCTTTGAGCTTTTTGCCACGGCAGAAGACGACGAGCAACGCGGACACGAGAATCGTGGACAGCGTCAAGAGTGACCGTACCGGAAGCCCTAAAAGGAGGAGATTGACGAGAAATTTGATGATTTTCTTAGTTTTAACGGTTTTAAATATGAAATTGAACACAAAATCTCAGCAATTTGTTTAGCTTAACGAGTAATTTTATAAAACAAAAGCAAAACAGGCTTACTATCGGTAAATTTAGCACAAAATCACTGACAAAACAATGGAAAAGACTTAAAAAAAGCCAAAAAAACGAAAAATTTAAAAGAAACTCACAGCTTGGAAGTGATAAGGCGAACGGAAACGAATCCATGATAGTAAACGATGAGATTTGAGGGGAAAACGGATTTCTTTTATTTGATCGTTAAATTCAAATTTTGCCTCATTTAAATGCAAATTTTAGGCGGATTGGCGACAGCGAAAGCGGCGATGCTTTTGGCGAAATGGCTGGGCAATGAGCCGGATTTGTTCGGAACACTGCCCCCGGAGGCTGCACAATTGGTATTCATGGTGAGTGGTTTGGGGTTTTTGCGGAATTTAGTTATGGTCGATTTTCACAATGCATCAAAGCTTTAAAAATACTGTAAAGGGGAGCACTGGACAGGATTAGACTTAAGACTTATTTGGTTGTCGATTGTTGAATATCGATCCTAGAGCTCTTACTGAGTCAAATCCTAAAAATTCTAACTCTGAAGTCAGATCTACCAACTTAATCGCTACGTTGCCTGCCTCTTTACAGGACTTGGCAGTAGCCAAGGATGTTCCAAACGAGCCTGTCAACCATACCTGAACCAGACCTGAACCAGACCTGAGCCAGACCTGAACCAGACCTGAACTTGGCCTTTGACAGGCCAGTTCAAGATCATTGACTAGGCCAAGCAAATTTGAGATTGAAACATCCTTGGTTTATTTGAAAAGCTTAAACCATTGCTAAGAAGTGTTTAGAATCGCTATTCCCAAGCGGATTTTGAGCTTGTTGACCTTTTGAGACATTATTCTTTTTTTTCAGAATCACCTCGGCGTGTTGACGCAAGAGATTGGCTCGATCGATTGGGTGGGAGCGTTGCTGTCGATGGCCACAAAGTGAATTTAGAGACCATTTTTGCCACTTTTTTTTTGTTTCTTTTCAGATGTGCTCCAACAATTGCAAAAAGTCACGAACAACTCGCGCAATGGGCTCTCTCGCAAGCGTCCCTTCAGTCATTCATCTCGGACCAAGCGTTTTTTGTCTCGAATTATTCGGTAAGTTGGGAAAGTGGGCTTTGTTTGAATGTTCAGTTGATTAGGAAAATTGGAAAATGCAATTTTAAGAACTAGACCTGAAGCTGGGCTTAAAATTCGAACTTTGAACGGTCAACTTTTGTCCCGATCAGCATTGCCTAACGAAAGTCCTTGTTCAGCGTCTTCTCGGGCCGGAAATCGCGACGCCTGAACGCTTGGAGGCCTTGTGGAAAGCGATTTTCAGTAGTAACAGCTTGGCGCAACTCCAAAATGCCGTCATCGTTGCCCTCGGAGGAACGTTTGCCAGTGCGGCTGAAATGTGAGCTTTTCAAAGGTAATTATTGTATATTTTGTTCTAGTTTACTCAAACAAACCGTTTACTACACGAACATGTGGGGGAAAATGTTGGAGAGAAGGCGACAATTGATGACAATGGGGGCGAATTCGTTGTTCGCTTTCTTGAGGCATCACGATCGGGGAATGAGGGTGAGTTGGAGCAGTTAATATAGAATGTACACGCTTGTCAGTCACGTCGATTTGTCAGTCACGGGTTCGAATCCCGATCAAAGGTCAACTTTGGGACAACTCAAAGGTGGCTAGGCTACCTCAGAATAGACTTGCTTATTGATCGATCAATGAGTTGATCAATAATGATCATTATCAATAAAAGATCAATAAGGAGCGATCAATAGCAATAAAAGGTCAATAAGGAGCTATTTAACGGCTTGATTGTGTATTTAAGTGTTTCCTTTCAGACGAGCATCGGCACCGTTCGTGTATGTCTTCAAATTCTCGACCTTCTCGCGCATCACCAAGACATCATTCACTCGATTCTCGAGAATGGCATTCAGTCGACCGACGTCTCTTTGTGGGTGTCCGTGTTGCCGCAAGTCTTTGCCCGTCTATCGCATCCGTCAAGGAAAGTTCGCGAGACGCTGATCGAGTTGATCCAGAGAATTGGTGGGCGTTTTTTTTTTTGATTGTTAAAGCTGTCATAAGTGACATTTTGTTTGTTAAAGCTGTCATAAGTGACAAAAGAACTTGATTTTTTTGGATAAATCTTATCTACGCACTTTGATAACTAGATTTTAATTGAGTTCGACTGATTTATAGACTTTTTGTTGGGGAAAATGGTTTTTTGAATCTAAATTCCACTTAATGCAGCATAATTATCTTATTGCTAAGGTTTTTAAAACTACAACAACTCTAAAATTATGATATTTTTCCAGGCAAAATCTCTCCACACACTGTCGTTTATCAAATCGTCGTCGGCGCCTCAAAGCAAATGCTGATGGACGCGGAAACTGAGGATTTGGTGGAAACGAATGACGAGATTGCACAGGATACGCATTTAGAGGTAGGCTTCGACAATTTAAGCCTTTACCGATACACTTTTGATTGTCTTGGCTTGGCAAAATGAAACGAAATGAAATGTTAGACAAGCGACTGATAGATCACTTTAAAATGCATCATTTTTTCAAGAATTATCGAGAATTATGCTAGTATTCAGGAAAAATCTCTGATGTTCGAGTGTTGTCGTCGCTTGGAGGAATCGTTGGCCTCGTTTTACCCGGAAATGGTCTCCGATGTGCGATCGTTTGTCGAAGAGTTGCAGAAGATCAACTTATTATTGGAAGAGAGGTGATTTTTGGGGATCCTGGTCCTTTATTGGCAGATTACAGATGGGTGTTCGTCTTGGCCAATATCGACAACGAGATGGAGAAACGACTCACGCATATTCGGGCTGAATCGGAGAAAACGTTGAAGGTTTACTATTTTACTACTGCAAGTAGCTATAAGCGTATAGCTACTTGCAGTAATTCCTTTGAAGATTCAAATTTGAGTTCAAGTTTGAGAACTCATTTACATTTGTTTACGGTAACTTTCCGCACAATCTGCATACATTTCAGGCGGCTCACCTCGGCGAAAAGGAGCGCATCGAGTTGGTTCAAGAGAAAACGCGATTGATCACGAATTCGGTGAGTGATTTGTGATTTAGAGGAATGATAAAGCATGGATAAAGCTGCTTTAACCTTTTTAACTTTCAAAATTCAGGTCTTCGAGCTATTGGACGATTTGTACGAGCGCACGCTTAACAGAACGTCGACTTCGGTCAATGAAAAGGTTTTTTACTATTTTGATTTGAGATTTACCGAATCTATGACTAGAGAGAGAACTATTACGAGGCACCAGATTTACCAGATAGTTTCTATAAACTGGACTTTTCTTATCGAGCAAAATTTATCGTTTTATAGAGCTTCATCGATGAGCACAAGGAGAAAATTGCGGCCGCTTTTGAGACGAGTCGCGCGAATCGAGCGAATCCCGAGAAAGCGTGGGCACCGTTTAGACAAGTGAGTGATTGATGATTTCTGGAGAAAGTCAAGCTAGGGTCTGGTGAGGTCAAAAGTCTGGTCCAGGCCTTGCTTCTGGCAGACCCCCAGGGACTTTTGTTCTGGATTGAAGCCAGACTAGGTCTTCAGCAAAGCTAGGGTGCAGTTTAGACCCAAGAAACTAGGTTTACGGCTAAATCTGGTAGACAGAGCGGTAGATCACATAAAAAACTTGATCTTTGGCACTCTGGCACCAGGTTGAGTACCTTGCTTGATCGTAACTGTACTTAAACACTTACCGTATTTACCGGTACTTAAAATGATTTAAAGTCGAACTTTATGCCGATATCCTAACGTCAATCATCAAAATAGGTGGCTGGCTATCAATTTGCCTTCCTTTTTACATGTTAAACTTCAGCTACTGGCCGCTCTCATCCAGAAGACCGCCCGGCGCACCAATTCCACCCTGCAAATCGAGGACATCAGTGAGAAGCTGTCAAAGGTACATTTTTAGAAAAATTCTAACTAGTCGACTTGTTTTGAAAGCATTGAAAGCATTGAAAGCATTGAAAGCAATAACCTAAAGCGTTGAATTGCTCAAAGTCTCAATTAATCTTTTGTTTTTTAGCTAAATGGCTCAAAAGTTCCAATCCCCGGTCAAGAAGCGATCGATTTTGCTGAGGTGACACTTTGAAACCTTAATTTTAGCAACCTTAATATGATAACGATACCAATTTTCTACTGGCTTTTAATAATTTACCCTTTTTAGATCTGTTACCTCGATCGTTTGGGCAAAACGGCTTGGGTGTTGCCGACGAAAACCCGTCCAAAGAAGCTGATTTTGATTGGATCCAATGGAAAAGAGTTGGGTTTTGTTAAAAATCAAAGTTTTATCTCTTTTTTTTCAGAAACATCTTCCTCTTCAAAGGGCAAGAGGACTTACACTTGGACGAGCGAATCATGCAATTGTTGCACATTTGCAATTTGATGCTACGCGGAGCGAAAGAGTTGCAGGGGTGGGTGCTTGAAGCGTTAAGAGCTTACGGTAATTTTAAGCTCACGGTAATTGTAAGCTGTAAGCTATTGTAGTGAATCTTACGATAATTGTGAATAATTAGGCTTAAATGGTAAGAGAAACTCGGGTTTTCCTTACGGTTTTTTTTTTGAAAACGATACTTGAGATTTAAGCAGCCTATAAGTGTATTTTTTTAAACCTATAAGTGTACTTTTAGAGACTGGCCACTGTACGAGGCGTTGAACTACTCGGTGACTCCGCTGGGCGCTCGCTCGGGTCTCATCCAATGGGTGATCGGGTGCACGCCGCTCTTTCAACTCTATCGCCGATGGCAGAATCGACAGGTATTTGTGAAAGTTTACTGCGAGCCTTGATAAAGAAAGTGATAGATACGGATTCACTGAGATTGTTCGTTGTTGAATGTTAGAACTTTTATTCTAAACTTTTACTCCCAAGTACCTCAAAATGTGCCTCAAATTCCTCCGTGTTCAGGCGCAAACAAAGACGCTTCTCAATCGAAAAGCCGGTCAAGCGACGCTCAACAACAATGCGCCTTTGGAACGACCCACCGATATGTTCATGAAGAAGTTGAGGGCCTCGTTCAAGGAAAATGTTAGTTTTGTTAATTATTTACGGATCTCTTGTACTGTAAATTTCTTTAAATAACATGTCTTTTTAGACAATCGCCCCGGAAGTGTACGGTGATCGCTCGAAATGGCCAAAAACGATTCTTCGCGATGTGTTGCTGGAGTTGATGAAAGAGACGCCGAATGATTTGCTGGCAAAGTGAGTAAATGATGAGTTGTTTTGGTTTTCAGGCTCACAAAATGGCCAACCTCTGTTTCAGGGAACTGTGGATGCGTGCGGGTAGTGCGGACACGTGGTGGCGCGTGACGTCAAGAATGGCGCGGAGTTCGGCTGTGATGAGCATCATTGGTGAGTGAATTATAGGGTTAACCCCAATCTGTTTGACAGCCATTTTGCCATTCTGGACCAAGGTCATTCTTGAAGGCCATTTTTCGTCCATTCAACTATTCACCGGTTTAGGCGCAATTCTTGGATTGGGCGATCGGCATCTCGACAATCTTTTGGTGAATCTCGACTCTGGCCAGATGGTCCACATCGACTACAATGTTTGCTTTGATAAGGTGAGTTGGTTGATGATCAAGGGTAGGCAGGGGATTACTGGACTGAGATGACTGCACTAGGATGGTTGCACTAGGATTACTGTACTTTTTAGGGTCGCCACTTGCGAGTCCCTGAAACAGTGCCGTTCCGTTTGACGCCGAATATCGTGCACGCGCTTGGACCAACGCAGGTGAGATATTTGGGTTTGGATAATTTTGAAAGCAGTACTAGTTTGAGCTCAATTTGGTCAACTCGATACAAAGTTTTCTTTCAGATTGATGGAATGTTCCAGCAATCGTGCCAACAAGCACTCGATGTGTTCCGCACAGGCAAAAAGGTTTGGTTCCCTGTGTGGTTACTGTGGTTGGCTAAATAGTACTTTTGGATTTATCAGCCTATCGATCAATTCCTAGGTTCTTCTGACGGTGCTCGATGCTTTTGTATATGATCCGCTCGTCGATTGGGCCGCTGCTCACGATCATTTGACGACAAGCGCCGCTGTTGGCTCGGTGAATGTGGCTGTGGCGTTAGCGGTTTACGGTGAGAAATTTTTGTTTTAAGTACTTGGATCTGAAGCATTATAGTTACCAGAGTGCATTGCTTGCTGGTTAAATGGCTAGGCCTGGCTGGTTCTAAACTTTCAAAGACTTTGTTTAGGCACTGATTCACGAGCTGCCGGCGCTCGTCCAATTGCTCGACAAATGTTCGCCGTGAGAGTTCGCGAATTTGCGACACCGTGGAAAGAGAACAAGTACGGTGGATTTGGATATTATTTTATTTTTATTTTTCTTTTATAAATATCAATTTCTCGTTTTAGAATCGAACTCACACAAGCCATTCAGCATCTCATCGCCACGATCAACTACGAGGTAAAACTCGACGTGCAATCACCGCTTGAAGAAGCTCATGCTTTGCAAAAGGTTGGGTTTGACGATCTTTAAATCTTAAAATCTAACTCATAAACGGCTTCACGAGTTTTTCTGAATCTTTGAACTAACCTAGACATTTTAGAGCCGAAACGAGGCTCTGCAGCGAATGAAAGCCGCAATTCATGCACACCATCAAATCATGAAGAACTTCCGGCAATTGTTGAGGGCACTTTCAGCGGTGAGTTTAATGTTTTGTGACATACAGTGTCATTTATGACATTTATGACATTATGACATTTTTAGTGTGACCCGCGTTTCTCTGCGTACACGAAGAAATACCGAGAACGTTTCGCTGATGGAGTGGTGAAAGCGCATGAAGCGATGGAGTCGATTCCGTCAAATTTCCTGCTCGCAATCACTGTGTTGAGCTCGGTGGTCGAGACGATCAATGAGTGAGTGTTAGACGTTTACGATAGTCGGTCAGTCAACCCAGCAAGCAAAAGCTAAGGCTAGCCAGGCTGGGATAAGGCTAGTCGAAAGTGAAGCAGAATTCAAACGATTAACCATCCTTCTTTTTAGTGTCTACGATGGACTTTTGTCGTTGGACAGCGCTGCTCCGATTGTCCCTGCACAAAGCTCGACGATTTCACCGACGAATTTCATGGCACCACCTGGATTTGAAGGTTTGATCGTTGAGGATTTAGCTGCGAACGAATTTAACTGCGAACTTCTCATTTTTAGATACGACACCCGGTGAGCAGCAGAAACAGCAGCAAAACCTGTACGCGAGAAGTGTCAACCGGAAGGTGGAAGCGCGTTTAGATGGGCGAATCGATGGGAATGAGCCGATGAAATGCTTCACGATACAGGAACAGGTAAACGATTTTGAAAATTGTTTGTGCTGTTTGAAAAAGTTGCTTGTGTTAGTCAACTCCAGTACATTTGTCAATTCCATCTATATCGTTCTTTTGCAGGTCGATCAATGGATTCGCTCGGCCACATCGCTCTCGAATCTCTCGTTGATGTACGAGGGATGGACCGCCTGGGTGTGAATGACAACAGAAACATTCGTCCACTCAACTTTACTCTTTTGGTGAGTGCTTTGAGAGGTTTAAGAATTGATCTAAGAATAGTATTCTAAACATTCACTTGAGAATAAACCCTTGACCAGTACAGAACTACGATTTCTTGGTGTAGATTAAAGTACAATATGCTACAGTACGTTGTATAAGAGCTGGTGTACGGTGGAAAAGACTAATTTCATCACTTTTCAGATGCGTGCGGTGTAAACAACACGTCGTTCGTTCGTTCGTTTCACCCATCACCATCAAAGCCCCAACAATTGTGCAACAACAAAAAGAAGCGTTTCTTTGGAAGAAGCCCCGCACAAAACCCTGGGATTCATCAAATTTCTTCACAAATTCCACCTAAATGCTCTTTTTTTGCAAAAAAAAAAACACCATCTACTCCATAAAATTGAGTCAAAATTGACAAAAACGGGAGGAGTTCAACAAAAATGTTTGCTGAATTTGCGAGAAGAACACAAGATCTCTTTTTTTTTCGCTTTTATCTTTGTAGAATGTGTTTCTTCTAGTGGAATACCTATTTTCTATATGTGATTTTACAATTTTCATGCTTTTTCTGAGGAAATGACCGAATTTTGACGTTTTTCTTCGAGTTGACCGTGTGGCGCAGCGGGTCGCCGGGCTAACCGCCGATCCGAGGGTTCCTGGTTCGATCCCCGGTGCCGTCGAAAGTTTTTGCAAAATTCGGTCTTTCTTCTCAAATCTTTTGCCAAAACCATTTTTATCGTAGTCTTTATATTTGTAAGCTTTTTTTTTGAATAGAATTGATTCATTTGTGATAGAATTTGACGCGTTTTCCCATAGCCAATTACAGTTACTAGCTTCCTTTTTTTTCGGTGAAATTTTATTCTATCTGGTTTTTCTTTTGGGGTTTTAAAGATAGTTGAATAAATTTATTAGACAATTTTGTGCGTTAGAATTGCTAAAGTGCGACTTTTTTTATCGGATTGAGTCTTTTTATGAGAAATATTTTGGTGTTGGAAAGGGTTTTGAGGCAAATTTTCGTCGAAACCTTGAAATTTTTTTCTAAACTGAAATTCTAAACTTCAAAGTGGAAATTTCTCCCAAAAACAGCGAATAGTTGGCAGAATTTCGGCGATAAACGTTTTTTTTGAAAGTTTTAAGGCAATTAAGTTTGACTTGTAAACTTGAAAAGCACAAAAAAAGCCAAAAATCATTGCAAAATCTCATTTATTCACTTTTTGAATCGTTTTCTCGCATTCCTTTACGCTTTACGCTTCCTTTACGCTTCCTTGCGCCTCCCCTTTCCTCCTTTATGCTTCCTTTTGCTCCTTTTGCTCTTCTCTTTGCTCTTTGCTCCTTTACCTCCTTTACCTCCTTACCTCCTTTTGCTCTTTGCTCTTGCTCTTTTGCTCCTTTGCTCCTTCCTCCTTTCCTCCTTTCCTTCCCTTCCTTCTCTTCCCAATCATCGTCATTTCTCGTTTCTCTTTCTCCGTCATGCTATTTGACAGCGTTGGCTTGACGACGCTCCAACTCCAACTCCAAGTTTTCCTCTTGATACAGTTGTCTAAAGTGAAAATCGTTCAAAAGGAAACCTTAGCGTTTAAATCATTTCAAAGCAGCTATGAGGAAAAGAAAGACTAAATTTTTGCACAAAACTTTTGACCGCACCGCGGATCGAACCAGCGACCCTCCGGTCGACGATCAACGAGCGGAAACCCACTGCGCCACGTGGTCAACTCAATGAAAAGATAAAAATTCAGCAACTTTTCTCTTTTTTAACCTCTTTTTCTCTCTTTTAACCATTTCTTTTCGCTTTTCCCCGACAAAGAGTCGTTTTAGACTGGTTTTATTGACTCTAGGCATCGTTTTGAGCCCTTTAATTTGGCTAATTTTGGCTGAGTTGAGTAATTTTTGTTGAAAATGCCTAACCAGGTAGCTAGAATTTCGAGAAGAAATGAGAAATTTCTCAATGAACGTCAAAATCATTCACCTGAGCGCTTTCCGGCACACTTTTTTGGGAAAGAAGACGAAACTAACGATTTCTCCGACTTTTTGTTGTCTTTTGATGTTTTTTTTGCTAAAAGTTGGATATGAATGCTAATGTTGAAATGTTAGATATGAATGCTATGAATGCTATGAATGCTATGCTTTGGATTTAGATGACCCAGAGCTCGTCGTGTGACGTCTCGTTTGTCGATTGGAGTGTCGGGGATTTGGTGGCTGAACAGGTGGATTTGAGTTATTTATTTCTTTTTTTCCCCCTTAAATTCACATATTCTATCGAAAAATCGCTTAAAAGCCACGAAATTTGAGTATTTTGAGAGAATCCATAGCTTTATGGGGTTAAAAATCGAGTTTTTTCTCTTTGAATTAGCCGAGAGAAGCAAAAACGTGCTCATTTTAACCATTTTTACGATATTTAAAGTGTAAAGCAGTGTTAATTTCATTTTCTTTTCAGTGTGGCCTGGATCGGGATCAAGCCAGACGCGTCTGCAAGCTTTTCGATGAGGGCTGTGAGGTGGGGGTTTTTTTAAAAATGGTATTTTCTCGGTACAGTCACATAGTCGCTACTGTTTTAGTGAGAATTTGATGGAAATTCAAAGAACGAAACTATTAGAAACGAAACTATTAGAGTTCTAAAGTAAACTATGATTCGATTAGTCGTGAATTTCATCTTGAAATTGAATACAAAGCCGAGAACTTTTTTTTTTGTGAAATGAAGAACGAAAATGAAAAAGAACGAATCTTTAGAAACTAATCGTCAATTAGTCGTATTGGAACCGTATTAGATCAAAATAGGAACCGTGCTTGTGATGCTTGTGATGGGACAGGAGGGTGGTTGGATGCTTGTGATGGGACAGTGGGGTGGTTGGATGCTTGTGATGGGACAGGAGGGTGGTTGGATGCTTGTGATGGGACAGGAGGGTGGTTGGATGCTTGTGATGGGACAGTGGGGTGGTTGGATGCTTGTGATGGGACAGGAGGGTGGTTGGATGCTTGTGATGGGACAGGAGGGTGGTTGGATGCTTGTGATAGGACAGTGGGGTGGCATCCGTTGGAACCGTATTGGAACCGTATTAGATCAGAACAGGAACCGTATTGGAACCGTATTGGAACGTCATTAGTATTGTCGTGGAGGTGTGGAACAATCACCTAGTTACCGTAATCTTAGCTAACTAGAAGAAGCTTTAACCTTGTGACCTTTAACATGTAAGCTTTAACCTGTTGAATTTGTCTTTTTCTTCAGGTTCCATTCGTCGCTCGTTATCGTGTCACTCAAACTGGTCATATGACGTGTGAAGAGGTGCGCAAATCGTTTGAAGCTTATAAAAATGCCAAGTAAGGGTTTTGTTCAATGTAAAAATTAACATTTCCAACCAAATTTAATGCTGAAATTTAGAACTGAAAAATGAATCTTTATGAGCTTTTTGTTATTTTCAGAGAACTCGAGAAGAAAGTCACCAAGGCGATCACGCAAATTCGCTCGAAAACTGAAGGCGATGAGCTGAGAAAGGCGATCGAGGCGCTGAATCAGGTAGATTTGGTGATTTTGATGATTACTATGAATATCTAGATATTGATCTAGATATTGATCATAATTTGTTGTCAGAAGATCAGAAGTAAATTCTTTTCCAATTCCAGGCTCGTGACTCATCGGAAATCCTCTCGGTCACCAAGCAATTCGCTGAAAAGAAAACGACGAAAGCTGGAGTGGCTAAGTGGGTGAATGATTATGATTAACAATAGTGTATTAGTTGGATAACTGAACCGAAATTGGATTTTGAACTGAATTGGATTGGATTTTGAACGATTTAATCTACGTCTCTACGATCGGTCGATCGTAGAGATGCTTGACGATAAATGACGATTCTACTTCCAAAAAAATGACCCTCAAAAAATGATCGATGATCGAATGATCGAAACATATGCATCTTTACAATATTACTCCATCGTTTGAGAGTTCATTCGAAAGCTTGAAACGTTAGCTAGTCGGGGCAATTTGAAAGTGAAAGTTCTCAGGGAAATGTGTGCTGAAATGGTTGCGAATGAAATGGTTGAAATATTTGGTTGCGACTTTTTTTTTTTTTTGATCAATTTCAGCTAATTACTGTTAATGATCGTTAAGAAATGCCATTTTTTTCTATAAAATGATCGAAAGTTGTTTGAAATTAGACTATTCATTTGGGGTAAATGAACCGCTAATTGTTAAATAGAATAGAAATATAATAAAATATAATAAAAGAAGGCTAATTGGGTAATTAAAGAGAACTAAAGGGGAGAATTGAAGCAAAAAAAATTCAAATTTTTTTTTTTAGAGAACTCGGTCTTGAACCTGCAGCAATCGAAATTTTTAATGGAAAATCGTTGAATTTGATGAGATTCGTTGACAAGAAAGGTGGGATTTCATTGATTTTTTTTTTGATTGATTTTGATTGATTGATTGATTTTGATAATTCTAGAACAATTTCCTTAACTAAATAACCTTTTTTTTGAGCAAATTTCTTTAGATTTGAAAGATTTGAAGACGATTGAGGGACATTTATCGAATCTTTTGGCTCATATCATCAATAAACAAACGAAAACGAGTAAATTTGCATAAATTGGCATAAATTGGCATAAATTTTGAGGATTTTATTGAAGATTTCAGTAATTTCGATGATATTTTACATATTTTAGCCGAAGTCGTACAGAAAATTAGTCACTTGGAGACGAAAGCACGCATCTTTGTGCAAGGACAACTCTCGGCGAAAGCGAAAAAAGCTGTCAATGGTGATGGATTATATGAGCAAGTGAGTTTTTTTGAAAAAATAAAAATCTCGGGCGGCTTCGAGGATCGAACCCTTGAGGTTTAGAGCGAGAGACGAGCGTGCTAACCACTTGGCCACCAAGATATGTGTTTATTTTTCTTCACTGAGTACCGCTAAACATTTGATGCGCTCCAGATTTTAGGAATAACCATTTGTGAAAGCTCAAGTCTTTTAGTTTCATTGGATCATTTGAAGGATCACGTTTCTCTCAGTAATTCAGCTAAAATGAACAAATTTCAAGGCAACAAATGAGTATTTCTTTAAGCTGGAACGCACAGAGCTTATGGAAATTATTAGATAACAAATCTATCAACAGTTCCCGGTGGCGCAATGGATAGCTAACTAGTCTCTCAAGCTGGGGGTTGAGGGTTCGATTCCGCGAGTCGGCAAAAGCTTTGTGAAATTTGATTTAAGCTAACCCAATCGTTC